TAAGTGAGAGTAACATTAATATACAATCTGAATATTAGAAGAAGTAATGCTTTCAACTTTAAGTATTAATATAATGCTATTTCTATAAATAAATCACATTGAATAGACGTATATAATACATAATTACTGATTGTTCGTCTAGGTTGTAAAGCTGGCTAGTGAGACATTCAACTATACAGCTTTAGACCGAGCTAAGTCAAGAACAAAAAAGAATGTTTCTGAGCGGTTTCCAAAATTTGGAAGACGTTTTCATAGGATAGGTTTGCCTCCAAAGGTATGGATTTGGATTATATCAAGACGTATACTTAAATGAAGCATCTTAAAATTTTATTTTATTTTTATACTACCATTATTGTGTATATACAATGTTGTATGAATAATATAGCTAAAAGAACAAATTGTATTTATATTAGAATACTTTACCTGGTTTTTTGATTATATGCTATGGCTGAGAGAACCACTGTCAGTAAGAAAAACATGAGAGATTGTTCTTTGTTGTTGTTTTTTTTTACCTCTTTCTTCTTATTCACAGACCCAAGATTCTTTTGACTGCCATATTTTAGAACAGTCAGGTAGAGTTCAGTCAGCCACACCTCCTCTGTTGTAGTAGCCACACCTCCTCTGTTGTAGTAGCCACACCTCTTCTGTTGTAGTGGCTACACCTCTTCTGTTGTAGTGGCTACACCTCTTCTGTTGTAGTGGCTACACCTCTTCTGTTGTAGTGGCTACACCTCTTCTGTTGTAGTAGCTACACCTCTTCTGTTGTAGTTGCTACACCTCTTCTGTTGTAGTTGCTACACCTGTTCTGTTGTAAGTATACATATTGTGTAGTTAGCTACACCTCTTCTGTTGTAGTAGCTACACCTCTTCTGTTGTAGTAGCCAAGTTTCAAAGTTTCATATACCGTACATGTAAGATTTAGGATAACGGGATATTATAATGCAGATTATTATTAATACAAATCTCTATTTCGACCAGGTCATCTTTTTTAATTTATCAAACTACACCTCTTCTGTTGTAGTGGCTACACCTCTTCTGTTGTAGTGGCTACACCTCTTCTGTTGTAGTCAGTAGTAGCTGTGCCCGTAGTAAGTATACACATTCCGTAGTAGCTACGCCCGTAGTAAGTATACACATTCTGTAGTAGCTACGCCCACAGTAAGTATACATATTGTGTAGTTAGCTACACCTCTTCTGTTGCAAGTATACATATTGTGTAGTTGGGTAGTAGCTGTGCCCGTAGTAAGTATACACATTCCGTAGTAGCTGTGCCCGTAGTAAGTATACACATTAGAATGTGTATGCTTTCTACGGGCACAGCTACTACGGAATGTGTATACTTACTATGGGCACAGCTACTACGGAATGTGTATACTTACTAAGGGCGTAGGTACTACAGAACAGGTACACGTAGTACAGAGTATTTGCAAGTACTGTATGTATTTACAGAGGTTGAGTATATTATGTAAAATAGTTTGAGCTTCACCATGTCATTACGATCCTTGTCGGATCATGCCATATATGATGACTATGTATAATTCATTTATTGGTCTTCTTCGATAAACTATTTGTTCTCAAAAAATCTGTTTAATCATCTCTGTTTTAACCTTCAGCACAAAGTACTCTTTCAAATTAAACATATTACTTTCTTATGCCTTTTGAAATTGTTGTAATATACCTTAATTCCTAATATTTTCAGTTATGATGTAATGCACATTATTTTCATATTTTGATTCTTTAGGATCTTTTTAATTCTGGTATTGTTTCTTATATTGGTTAGGTGGGGTCTTTTCAAATGTTTGTAGACGAATATAAGGATGCAGAGTTTTGGTTGAGAAGATTTGAATCAGAACCAATGCCAGAGGTTGTTCAGCGGCAGTTTCAGCTTCAGTTTGAAAGACTGGTGGTATTAGATTATATTATTCGTAATACAGGTATACATTTACTTATTTTGATTATAGGGGTGAATGATAAAGATCATCTAATAATTATATTAATTCTAAATTTTAATCTTCTTAACCCCATTGCCCTCGGTTCCATTTTAAATTCCTTTCTGCATATGGTACTGCATTACACTCAAAACGTAATTAAACCTCTTTACTATCAATATATGTGTGTGAATGAAATTAACATTATAAGGTATGTCTGCATTAAATTCAAAACTTAATTAAACCTCTTTACTGTATAAGTGCCATCTTGTTTTGGCAATGGATCTCTGTGGGTAGTCTAATGAAATACCTTTGTAAAGCCCCGAGGGCATCAGTTAACGCACGGGCATAAATGATAATAGATAAAGAATTTGAAAGGAAAATTAAAAATAAACTATAAGTGAAAAGATAAATACGTGAAATTGTGCATATAAGAAAAATATGACTATTCCGTTGAATTTTTACAGAGTTGAAATGTATGTATGTATTTCCATTTGTTAAATTTAAACATTTCATTGTATCGATGATAATAGATAGGGTTAGTGATATAGTAGAGAAAATATGACTATTCCGGTGAATTTTTACAGAGTTGAAAGGTATGTATGTATGTATGTATTTCCATTTGTTAAATTTAAACAATTCATTGTATCGATGATAATAGATAGGGTTAGTGATATAGTAGAGAAGATATGACAATAGATATTTACCTTAAAAAAACTTATTCATTTATGAGTTTCTAGAGATTAGACAAATGAAATGTGAAAACTGTAAGATAAAAAAAAACCAGTATTTCTATACTTCGTATAAAAATCATCTTGCCCTTGTAAGTGAACTATTCAAAGTGTGAATACAAATAACTACATTAAATAACGAATTTTTTATTAGAAATAGGAGAAAAAAATTAAAATTAAATATTTTATTTTTCTGAAACTAGATACTTTTACGAACGTTCTTGTGAAATTTTAAACATCTCATCCACTAGTTTTATTTTTGGAATGAAATATAACTAGAGATGTCGCATGCTAAGGATCATAGCACGTGGCTACCAAAGGGTTAAAGGCATGGCCAGGTGGTTAGGGTGCTCAACTCACAATCTGTGGGTCGTGTGTTCAAATCCCTATCCCACCAAACATGCTTCCCCCTTTTAGCTGTGTGGGTATTATAATGTGATGGTCAATCACATTATTTGTTGATAAAAGAGTGGTCCAAGAGTTAGCAGTGGGTGGTGATGACTAGCTGTCTTCCCTCAATCTTTCACTGCTAAATTAGGGACAACCAACCAATCCTTAAAAGTAATCTCAAAAAAAGAGAACAAACATAATATTATGAATAATAAATAATATTCTTTACAAAACACTTTCACCCGATGGGATGTTGATACATTTACAAGTTTACAACGCTAAAATTCAAGATTAGATTACATGCAGTTTACAGAGTACGGATAGCCTATTTGGTAGCTGTGAACAAAGAAAACAACTATTACAGAACATCTTAAAAAATTGTTTATAAAGTTTTTTTTTATAAAGATAATATTTACCAATGAACTTCCAAGTACCTTATTTCTCTTATAAAATGTTGTATATCAGCTTTTCTCTGTCCATAAAATGAATGAAGTGTAGTATCATTGGCTGGGTTAGGCTTCTCTTCTTCTACGATGAAAGGTAGCTCCATGCATCATTGGCTGTGTTAGGCTTCTCTTTTTCTACAATTAAAGGTAGCTGCATGCATCATTGGCTGGGCTAGGCTTCACTTTTTCTACAATTAAAGGTAGCTCCATGCATCATTGGCTGGGCTAGGCTTCACTTTTTCTACAATTAAAGGTAGCTCCATGCATCATTGGCTGGGCTAGGCTTCACTTTTTCTACAATTAAAGGTAGCTCCATGCATCATTGGCTGGATTAGGCTTCTCTTCTTCTACGATGAAAGGTAGCTCCATGCATCATTGGCTGGGCTAGGCTTCTCTTCTTCTACAATGAAAGGTAGCTCCATGTATCATTGGCTGGGTTAGGCTTCACTTTTTCTACAATGAAAGGTAGCTCCCTGCATCATTGGTTGGGTTAGGCTTCCCTTCTTCTACGATGAAATATTGCTCCATGCATCATTGGCTGGGTTAGGCTTCTCTTCTTCTACAATGAAAGGTAGCTCCATGAATCATTGGCTGGGTTAGGCTTCTCTTCTTCTATGATGAAATGTAGCTCCATGCATCATTGGCTGGGTTAGGCTTCAATTTTTCTACAATGAAAGGTAGCTCCATGCATCATTGGCTGGGTTAGGCTTCACTTTTTCTACAATGAAAGGAGCTCCATGTATCATTGGCTAAGTTAAGCTTCAATTTTTCTACAATGAAAGGTAGCTCCATGCATCATTGGCTGGGCTAGGCTTCCCTTCTTCAATGATGAAATGGAGCTCCATGAATCATTGGCTGGGTTGGGCTTCCCTTCTTCTACGATGAAATGTAGCTCCATGCATCATTGGCTAGGATAGGCTTCACTTTTTCTACAATGAAATGTAGCTCCATGCATCATTGGCTAGGCTAGGCTTCCCTTCTTCTACAATGAAAGGTAGCTCCATGACATTATTTGAACTTTTGTTTTCTAAATTTAGCTCACAAGTAATAGTAAAATGGTACATTCCACTTGTAAAGTAACTTTGAATAATATATATATTCTTTTGTTACAAGATCAATAGCTACTATATGTGAACTTACAATGATGGCTATGTGTAATCTTCATTTAGATTACATTATTCTCAGCTTTCTTGGCCACTTTCCATTTTTCCTTCATATAAATGCCATTATTGATCTATTTAGCTTTATTTGTCCAAATTCATACTTTCATCTTTGTTAGCACCATTGCTTCAACTTGTTGACCTCGGGTATACTTGGGCTAAACTAAATTATGAAAAGGTGTTTACTATCTTATTCAGTGTCCAGTTATTTTACCACCACTATGTAATTTACTGTCACTGCCTCATGTGAACAAAAGGTCAAGGGTGGCTGGATGGGGCCCAGTCTTTCTGGGAAGGAGTGGTTTACTTTTGAACTACACTACAAGGTTCAGTTATGTTATCATATCAATTTATAGGACAGAAAGGTCAAATGTTTTGGAAAAGTAATAGTTTACAATGTCCTGCCTTAAGTCAAAGTACAAATATATGTATGTATATGAAGTTATAAATATATTAAATATATCTTTGGTGAATCATAATAACATTTTGGTTTTGCTGTAACATTCTGAGCAACTGAATGTTCTTTGGTAGCCAGAGCAGTTAGGTTTATGTTACTAATTTACGTATATCTGAATATCGAAACAGACAAATATAGAATAAATTGCTCGTTATAGGTATGGAAGACATACTGAGTAAAGTATCATTCAAACCATTTATAGAATATTTATGTTTCAATCTATCTCGGAAAGAGTATAATATATATATATATAAATGAATGTGTGTTCAGGTTACATAACCATGAAAACTTAGCATGTTAAAATGGGTAAAAAGATATATTTTTTTTCTATGTTCTACATAACCCTACAATGAACACTTAGCTTCTAAAAAAAAAATTTCTGTGTCCTACAATGTATGTTTTTATATAAGTGACTGGGTAAAATGAATATTACTGGATCAAATAAAATAAAAAACGTACACTTGTGTTCATTTATTGTAACTAGTTAGGTGTAAGATTCAAGTTTCTGTTTTAAAATATTACAGTGTTGATGAATGTTTAAATTCAGTCAGTTTTTATAACAAGCAAGTGTGTGTGTGTGTGTAGCTAAGTTTATCTGTGTTTAATATTTGTGTTTTAAAATGTTACAATATCAATGAATGTTCAAATGTACATCATTTTTCCTACAAGCTTGTGTTTTATTTTTACAGATAGGGGTAATGACAACTGGCTGATTAAATATGTGAAACCTGATGCAAACAAAAAGGTAACGTGTGTTCTTGTTGGTTACATTACATAGCTTGAAGATGTCTACACGTACTTTAGTGTAAATGTAAACTGGTAGATGACTATGTTTACTTTTGTGTAAATGTAAACTGGTAGATGGCTACGTTTACTTTTGTGTAAATGTAAACTGGTAGATGGCTACGTTTACTTTTGTGTAAATGTAAACTGGTAGATGGCTACGTTTACTTTTGTGTAAATGTAAACTGGTAGATGTCTACATGTACTTTAGTGTAAATGTAAACTGGTAGATGTCTACATGTACTTTAGTGTAAATGTAAATTGGTAGATGGCTACGTTTACTTTTGTGTAAATGTAAACTGGTAGATGGCTACGTTTACTTTTGTGTAAATGTAAACTGGTAGATGGCTACGTTTACTTTTGTGTAAATGTAAACTGG